AAATGAAGACTAAATTACAACAAAGAAAGGTTTTTTTCTACTTTAATGGACACTGTCAAATGAAGACTAACTTACAACAAAGAAAGGTTTTCTTCTACTTTAATGGACACTGTCAAATGAAGACTAACTTACAACAAAGAAAGGTTTTTTTCTACTTTAATGGACACTGTCAAATGAAGACTAACTTACAACAAAGAAAGGTTTTCTTCTACTTTAATGGACACTGTCAAATGAAGACTAACTTACAACAAAGAAATGTTTTCTTCTACTTTAGTGGACACTGTCAAATGAAGACTAACTTACCACAAAGAGAGGTTTTTCTACTTTAATGGATACTGTCCATCTGCCTGGATTCAAAACGAATGGTGAAGCAATAAGACCCTGCTTACCAGAAACCAAGACAAACTTAGGCTCATCAGTGGACTTGAAGACAACATCACTACTCTGTTCCGTCTCTGTCATAAAAAAATAAAAAAAACTTTTATTACCACACACTGCTTTCTCTTATGAAAGTAAACTATACAAACCGTTACAGGCCTAAGTCCTGAAGTAAGGAATTATCAACCTATTATGGAATAAACCTAGGATGTTACCAGGTTCTGCACTGTATTAAAATTAATATTATAAAAATAAATTATAGAAATTGTTGGTAAGCTCTGTTCTGTAGTTGAGAATGTAAATTTTGTGAATTAAAGAATCATTATTCCATTTTATAACCAAACCAAAACTACAAAACACTTGCTAGCAAGGTGTTAGACATACACGACTGTGTAACTTAATGCATGTGTTATGATTTAGATAGTTTAAGTATTATAGCAAGAGTGTTAAATTTAGTTATTTTTTGAAGCGATGTTTATCGCAGGTTTGTTTACGTGACTGTTTTTGAATCATACATTGTGTAGCTCAGTTGTTGTGAATTGGAGATTGTTGCATTACTGTGTCATGTTACTAGAACCTTCTAAGTTTTCTCATTGTTTTAATTGAGTATTATTGCATCCTAATATCTCATACTGTGTGGAACATTCTAGACCTCTGTCGGACTATAAATATGTGTTCAAAATGTAGTTCAAATTAATCAGTTAGATAGATAGATCTAGACTGCATGATTATGAGTTTAGCCATAAAAAGCATATAGGGGCAATTTCTAAAGTGAAATTATCACAGATTATATAGTAATAACAGAGTAGAGAAAAATAATTTGTCTTGCCAAATTGTATTCTAAAGTAACTGAACGAACCTGTGTGGATTTTGATGAAAAAAAGAGATAATTATTTAAAGCTCTGGATGCAACTTTGGTAACCAACAGTTATGGTGGTGATTTTAAAGTGAAATTATCACAGATTGTATTGTAATAACAGAGCAGGAAGAATAATTCATCTTGTATAATTGTGTTCTAAAGCACTGCTTCTCAACTGGGTGAATGGTTCTCTCAAGAGATTAGAATATGGGTAAATGGCAGGGTGAATAAGTATTATCAATTATACAATAAGTTCAAGAGCAAAAAAGCCATTAGTTATTATTATTTATTCTAGTCGTACTTTGATAAGTACATTTATTATTTGCAAGGTATGTTCAGTGTGTTAAAAACACCATTGTATTGTAACAATAATTATATTTGATAATTTTATACTAAACAATAATCTACTTTCATTAATATAGTGATATATATATATATATATATTTATTACATTATAAACGTAGATCACTTTATATTACCAACAAATGTCATGGATCCAGATTAACTGTTAAAATATCATCTTACCTCCAGACGCTTCTGGTGTGAATTTCACAAAACCATAAATGTTCTCTCCACCAAAATTATGGTATCGAAACAAAACATGATACAGGCTAGATTTTTCAACATATATACGCAACAGAATTTCCTTCTGAATGTCTGAAAAGATAGCGTATCCCCTCCATGAGTAATCTCCAAATTGTGACTGGTCGTAACCAAACCTAACGGGAGTGTCTGATGGGGTTCGTCCATCTTCAAGTTCGTACTGTAACTGATGAAGACTTGGAAAATAATGGGTTTGTAGTGGTTTGTCACAGCGTCGACCGTTGATCCGAGGACGGCAGGCACACTTTCCAGTGTTTTTGTCACACACATTGTTCTCTGAACCTCCAATGTCACACTGGCAATCTGTACAAAAAACAATATAGAAATAATGGAGGGTCAATAATGTAACTTCTTGTAAAATTATTGTTCTTCTAAGATAAAAGAATTTTGCAACACCACTTAAAAACAAAGAATCCACTGTGTATGTTGATAACCTAATAACCCAAGCGAAGCCAGGTACTTTTGCTAGTTTGAAATATTTTTTATTCAGAATTGCTACACCATTACCTTTATATGGTTTAGGGATTACTAAATTATTGAGTGAACTAAGATATTTTACAGCCAAAATTTCTTCTTTAGATAAATTTCCTGGACTTTTTTAGTGTTAAAACTATAATATCCTGAAAGCACTAAACCTGAAATTTCAGTGACAATATTATCACTATTATCTGTGTATGTTTTAATTTCTGTAATAACTGTTCAAAATTTACAAAATGTTCCACAGTCAAATTTTTCAGGTATGACTGAAAACTTTAAGCCTCATGATAATACCTTTTATTCTACTTTAATTAACTGATAACCTGAAAAACTATAAACAGAAAAGTAGACACACTAAATTTTTCACGCTTTAACATTTACAACTTTTTGTTTTAATCTCAAATCATTCAATCACATTATACAAATTTATAAAATCTTAATTTGAGGCCACTTCTTTGCGATTTTCAACACCATTGACCCATTTCTTTTGAAACTGTTTTTGTACTTTCAGTTTACATGCTAATTCTTATTTTAGAAACATATTTTGTGAAGACCTGTAACATTTAGTTGCAGTTGGTCAGTTTTTAAAGTTTAAATGCTATTATCACACTGATATACTCATTTCCTGATCATGAATGTGTTCTTAAACATACAGTATTTATAATATTAATTCTATTGATTTTATTCTATTTCATGAATTTAAGTCAATAAGTTTTGTATCAAACTGTAGATTATAAATCAAATTTTAGTATTACACATTACTCAATTTCATAATTTAAAAGTAAATATTAAAAAAACAGTTAAACACAGTTCATGTGGTATGTTGAATGCAGCACTCGTTCAAATTAGATATTTGTGATGTCAAAATTCTAAGTCTATAGTTTCGTATGAATTAAGAACTCAAATTACTAATATTGACAAGCTAGAATATAAAATAAGAACCTCTTATCTCTTATATTTGCTAATATATTGCTCATGTACTGAATCAAACACAGTGGCCTCCTGCCCACTTTTCATTCTTGGAAATGCTCCCTCTTGGAAACGCTCCCTTATATACACTTACTTCTATATATGACATGAATAACCAATTGAAAGCTCAGAATGTCCCCCTAGTGGCTTTCTTATACATTTTAAATTCTTAGGACGCCATCTCTTTCTTTTGAACCAAGATTTCAATGAGGTAAGTTGTGTCTTTAGTCTGCTCAAAATTTAATATATTTGTAGAACAAAATACAACTTAGTTACTAAGCTTGATAAATTATAGTGGAATTCTATGGTATTGATGTAGTAATTTGTGATTTTTTGGTTATTCAACTGTATATATAAAACCTAAAAAAATATTTTATTTCATATCTCCACGTACAAAATTTTTAAAGGCTTAGCAACCTACGTCAAGCAGCTGAGTACAAAGGTTGTAACTTGAAGAGATAATTATTTGCTTTACTTCTTTAGTTACTTACTGTTCTATGTTTTAAGAAAAATAAGTTTAAGAACATATTTCAAAATAGCAATAACCTATATACATATATAACATATAATAATGGAAATGTAACTATATTTTATAAAATACTAGTTGACTAAAACACAACCAAGACAGGTCACTTTGTAAAGACTAAAGTGAGGTTTTATATTATTGGATACGGTTACATGAATGCCTGTGTACCTTGTCATTGCAGCTTCTGTATTGTTAGCCAGGCATGGCTGAAAGGTCAATATAATAAAAATTAATAAATATATATAAACGTATGATGTTATGAGATTTAAGCTATTTAGTCTAAACATTTATATTTTCATGTTATAATTTGTTGTCATTCTAGAACGAAAAAGGCATAACTTATATTTATTTCCTAATTTTTTTAATGTAGTTATGAAATTGGTCAAATTGACCAAACCCGTACAGAGATTCGTTACTGAAAATTACATATAAAATGTAAAGTTTTTTCTTAAGAAACATTTGATAACTATCTGGACATTATAAAGTTTTAGTATGTGAAATTTGAAAATTTTTTCATGCACAAAAGTATTTTTAATCTTAAAATGATAATTACTTTGCGTGATAGATAGGCAACATGCAACAAAAAAAAAAGGCATGAGAAAAACATTGCTTTACAAACCTTAAGACTTAATAAAAAAAATTTATATTTTGCATATGAAAGCATTGTAATGTTTAATGATAATATGCCAAATTTCATTAAGATATGCTTATTCATTTAAAAGTTATAGCATGAAAGATATATCAAGCACAAAATGGTTACGAGGTCAGTCCCAGGGACAAAGCCCGTGCTGAAAGAGTTAATACAAGTATGTGGCCATGGCATTTTTTGTATAATATACATAATGAGACTTTGACTGTATAATCCAAGTGTAAATTGATAGTAGACTTAGTAAAGATAAGTCTTGTTTCTTGTTCTTGGAAAAGTGGTGCCTACTGCTTAAACAGCCTGACAACAGCATTTGATAAACTTGTTTGTAGTTGTTATTTCATAAACAACACATATTGATACATAATCAATGCTTAATACTTATTTTTCTGCATAATCAACAATTTTCTGGTGCATAATTTCATATAATTTTAATTTTTTGACACATAAAAAACTGGATTTTGATATGACAATCGATACACATGCTTTGGCAAATCTTTGATTACCTTGACAACCAAAAAGGTTATCTTCCTCCAAACGGTAACTTCCATCCTTACATTCCTGACACTGACGAGAGATAACGTTGGGTTTACATATGCACTGCCCACTAACTCCATCACATAAACTAGCACCTCCAATAGTACCAGGTCCATAGCAGTCACACTCTGAAACCAAATGTCATATTATTACAATGTAGATATAACATTTTGATTAAAACCAAAACTATTGCTAACAATAATAACTTCACCATTTGTATCTATTATGAATGACACCTAAATACATATATTTTTTAGTTTTTGTTGTTCTCATATTAGTTTTTTTCTATATTATTTGTATTTTTTGATGTTACATGCTAGCAGTCAATTAATGCTAAATGTATTTAATTCATAAGTGAAACATAACATAAAATTCAAGGACAGCAAGGGACCTTTTGGTCCATCTATGCTGTCCTAGTCACTAAATTAAACAAAACCAAGAACACTGAAGAAAAGAAACATCTTAAAGCCAGCCCTTATCATTGAAATATTTATCAAGCTTTCCCCTTAAACTCCTTTAAATTTACTGCATCCACCAAATCTGAAAGCAACCCATTCCAAAGGCCAACCTCCCTGTTAGAAAAATAAAACTGTCTTAGCTGACGATTACTCCTTCCTTGCCAAAAGTTATATTTGTGTTCCCTAATCCTACCATTCTCACTGTTAAATATAAAAAAAAAGATGATTCATCAACACTATCAATTCCCTTAACAATCTTAAACACTTCACCATCCAGTGGCACAGCAGTATGTCTGCAGACTTACAATGCAAAAAACTGGGTTTCAATACCCATGGTGGGCAGAGCAAAGATAGCCCATTCTGTAGCTTGGCGCTTAACTACAAACAAACAAACTTAAACACCTCAATCCGATCCCCTCTAACTCTTCTTTTTTCAAGAGAAAACAAGTTCAGAAATAATTAACCTATCCTCATTTGATAACATTTCCATCCTAGGTATCACTGTAGTAGCTCTTCTCTAACAACTCAGAATCTATGGGCAGGAAATATCATAAGAGTAATAAACTGTTGACTGAAGGTAATAATTTTATCAAGTTGTTGGTTCAGTTTCATGATGAATTGAATATATGCCTACACATAAAACAATAAATTGTTAAAGTATTACTAATACAGACTTGTTAATTGAATATCTGACATTCACTGAATGTTGAAGGATTAACAAATTAATTTTCTTAAGGTTAATGCTCTCTTGTTGTCTGAATGTTTTAAAACCTACAATGAGTTTATAATTAAATATATATAATTACCAGTAATGACTTGTTTTAATGTTCAACAAAGAGCAGCTGATTGAACGTTAATAAATAAGCTTTAAATATAGAAATTATAGCTATGAAGTAAACACACTTATTCAAAGAAAGCAGAAAACCAACCTTCACAACCCACTGGATTTCCTGCTTGCAAGTTCCAAAACAGAGGTCGACACGTGTCACAGATTCGACCCGTGACTCGTTCTTTACACTCGCATAACTCTCCACTAGTTAAACTTCCACAACCACCAAATGTTGCCAACACTCCTGCTGGATTACAGTTGCACTCTACACCAGATAAAAAAATTATGGAATCATTACTACGAAATTTTAATAGTGTAAAGCATAAGACTATCAAGAGTTGTAAAAAAAGCTGATGCAGGTAATTTTCACATTAAAAACATTGCAGTAGCAATCATCATTAGCTTGATAAAAGTTCCAAGAAGACATTAAAAGCACACAGTGCTACCCTAAAATTACATGGATACTACCTGTGTACACTTATTTTTACTCTATTCATTAATAAATATATGATAAGCCTTAAACAATGTAATATCAGGTGCTTCCAGCCGAGTTATGGCAATACACTATGGCAGGAAAAATTACATCTAAAGAAATGTTTATTAACATTAACCATGGCAGAAAAAATCACATCTAAAGAAACGTTTATTAAACATTAACCATGGCAGAAAAAATCACATCTAAAGAAATGTTTATTAACATTAACCATGGCAGAAAAAATCACATCTAAGGAAATGTTTATTAACATTAACCATGGCAGAAAAAAATCACATCTAAGGAAATGTTTATTAATATTAACCATGGCAGAAAAAATCACATCTAAGGAAATGTTTATTAATATTAACCATGGCAGAAAAAATCACATCTAAGGAAATGTTTATTAATATTAACCA